AAGAGACTTCTTGAAAGCATTGTTTGAGTCTCAACATTTTTCATTCTTCCTTCAAAATTTCCCAAAAAGACATGACCATATATTTGAAGATTGGCAAATAAATAATATTTATTTAATTAATACTAATGAACTTATTCAAATGTATTCAAAAGAATATCATCCTATTACTTCAATTATTCAAACATCAACAGAAAAAAGTCTTGAAGTATCTCCAATTAATACATTGGTATTGGATTGTGGGAAACTTAAATCATTAAGAGTAAGAAACACTGTAGTTAATTCACAATTAGAACCAAAAATGTATCATAATCATTTAGAAGGATTAAAAAAACAAAGAGTAAAAGAAGTATTTAATAATGATATAATACAATTTAGTGATATTCAAATTGGAATATTGGTGATGATGAATGAAGGAACAACAAAAAGTCTTGATACAGATTTATTATTTAATTTTTTATCACAAGTTGAAGGAAGAAAAATATTTACACAACGATTAATGAGTAAATATACATCATTTTGTATTAATAAAATGGAAGGTAGAGTAAATAATATAGTCTATGCAGTAATTGGTGATATTCTTCGACAAGAAGCAACATACGCATATTCACAAAAAGATTATATGACACCACAACATATTATTGAATTATCTCAAATATTATATAAAACAGAAGGGAACCAAAAAATTAAATTGATTAATAGTTTAATTGAATTAGATATTTGGAATCAAATGGATGTATGGAATAATATGTTTATGAGACTAATGTGTATTGAAAAATCGTCTATTTATCAAGAACAATATGGGTTAGACCTTCCATCAAGATGGAACCTATTTGATTCAAATCAACAAAACCAATACAGAATTGCTGAAACTCAAGACTTTAAAAAAAATTTATCAACACTTTTAGATACGATGAAAATTGTTAGAGTAAATGATAGAACACTTAACCAATTTGTTGGTTATATATTAAGCCAAATGAGATTTGATGAAATGTTTAGAAATGAAATTGATAAATTAGTAAAAGAAAAATGTCCTTCTCAAAATGCTCTTACAATTAATGACTCTAAAGAACAATTGTTAGCTGATATGAGAAAATTGTATGACTCTGTGTATCTCACTGAAGATTAACTATTTTTTTGTTATTCAAAATAAATAAATTTTAATTTAAAAAAAAACGATAAAATGTATTAAAAAAAAAAAAAAGAGAGAAATATTAACAGAATCAAGTTTTTTTGTTTATTTATTTAATAAAAAGAGCTATAAAAAACTATAAAAAGATTT